TGATATCTAGAAAAAAAAAAAACAAATAACCTAAGACAGAGACAGAGATGGAAACAGGCATAAATTAGGGTTTAAAGAAGTCAGGACAATATTTTTATAAAGTGCCTCTGATAAGTTTTTTCTCTCTTTAAACTAAGTTTATTAGTTTCAAAAGAATAGTGGGTCTTAAATAATATTAAATTAGATAATATTAGTAACATTAAAATTTTGAAACAACTTCAACTAGCATTTCAACTAACCTTGAGTTGTCTTAAAATTATATTTTTGAGAGAACTAAATGATAAACATAACTTTGAACAATGACATATTAGTATTAAAAACCTTAAATTAATAGCTTTACATATCATTCAATAATGCTTTACTATAATACCTCACTTTTGTTGAAAGCTATAGTAATAGTGATAAAAGAATATCTTGTATTACCTTAAACAATTTTAACAGTAGTAGTACGTAACTTATCATATAACAGATGAAATTAGATAGTTAATTTTATTTTTCAAAACCACTAGTTAGAATTGGCTATTTACTATTAATAGTTAAGTCTAACTACTGGAACAAGTTATAATTATCTATAAAAAAATAATAATAATAATAAATAATAATAATAATAAAAATAAAAGAACTTATTTAATCACTATCAAAGGATACCTTCTAAATTCTAAGAACAAAATCCAGTTTAGGTTCTGGTGTTCTGGCATTTCATCCACCCTCTAAGAATCTATAATAAAGATTCTCAAGATTTTTGAGTTATGATTAAGAAAATTTGAACAAAGTATTTGTAAGATACAAGATTAATAAATACTAGCAAAGATTAAAAAAAGAAGTCAAGATAGAGAAAATACAAGGAGTAACAAATGAATTTGAAAGAAACAAATAAGAATATATCTATATTGAATACCAGATAAGTCTCTAGATAGCTCTAGTTAGATATCAAAATGTAGCTACTAAATATAGATAAAAAGAAGAAAGAAAATATTTATATAACTTATCTGAATAAGTCTCAAAGAAGTCTCAGTATAATGTCAAGGCATATTCTGATAAATATCAACAAGTTTTAAGATTTTATGTATAGTACACATAAATTAAGTATAGGAGTTTGTAAATATCTGATTTAACCCTCCAGAAATACTATGCTATGATGTAGTACAATATTCTATTTTTAGTTTTAGATTCTTGTTTAGTCTTTTTATATGTAGTATATCTTAAACATGTATGATAGTCTTACCTTAATTAGATTAGCTGATGTTCACTATATAACATATGTAGTATTTATAGCATATCGAATATAGAGGGCATTGTGGTAGATTTAACATATATGAACTATTTGACAGATATGTCATATCTGATATATCAAACACATATTAGATATGTTCTAAATGTATCTTCTAGTATCACAGAAAGTATAAAAGTGATACCTTTTATTTTCAACTCAAAAGAACTCAAAAGAGTTCAATAAAATAAATTCTCAGACTAGAGAATAGATCCTTCTACATAAGTAATCCCAATATCATATTCATTAACTTACAATTACCCCTTCTGATTATATACAAACTGATCTTAACTCTGATAAACTCAGACCAAATCCTTCACACCCTCTTTCTGCTTTCTACTATTGGGGTTATAGTTAGTTTAGTGGTAGGTTGTAGAGATATTTGTGTTGAGACTATCATCTCAACCTATTCTCAGATTCTGAACTCCTATTCAGCCCTCAACAATGACAAAATCTGAAAATACACTCTTTAAAAATGATCAAATTTAATAATGATTAACTAATAGAAATTAAGAATTGCACGTGATTGAAATTAAGGTTTAAATCCCAACAAAATTGTATAGCGTTAATTATCATAATAATGTGAGCGTCAAAAAATCCGAACAAAAAAAATTATTAAAAATAGAAAAATCTAGAAAACATCCATCTTAATTTATAGTGGAACAATAATTTTGCTAATATATTGACTATCTTTCTTAACACTTGCTAATACATTGACTATTTTATAAATTGCTATTTTTTCTTTTTAGTTATTGCAATTACAACTTCAAGAACAATTTTCAATAACACTAAAAATTTTAGTACAAGTGCAAGATTAAGAACGGCATATGAGACTTATAAACTTTTTTAGTACTTAAAGTGGGATCGAATTTGGAAATCAACGTTTCACAATTCAAGTGCTAATTTCTCGAAATTTTTACTATATAATCTAACCAAACTTCATTGTATTTTTAATGACATTATTTTATAAGTAAGCTAAAGGAGTCTATTTAGGGTAGTAAGTGGCGCAAAAAGTATATTTTATATGCATCTATTCGATATTCGATTTTCTAAAGTTCAACTTTTTTAAATAAAAATAATTCGCGATGAAAATAACTTATAAACTTATAGCACAGTATTTATTCCTTTGTTTAATCATAACATTAACGAAATCACAACAGTATTTTAACTATACAGAGAGTACATTAGAAACACATGACACACCACCACTTGTAGCTGACATTAAAACTTATGATGACGGAACAATTCTCGTTCATGTTATACGAAATGATTCAACACAATCAAACACTGATTGTTTAAAATTTCGTGGGATGAGTTTGGAACAGAAATTACGTATAAGGATTATTCATTTAAATGGAAC